CAGCTCGACGAAAACGTTCTTTGAAATGCTTTCATGTACATGCATGACTGACAGATAACAATGGTGTGACGTCATTGTTATTTTCTTATGAATAATCATCGAACTGCTGAATAATCATGATCCATTGACGACATGTGCTGCAAGCAAAAACACCACTGAATACATGGAAATACCCACCTTTTCAGTATAAAATACGCGAAAAGCCATATTTTCAGCACGCACCTGCACCTTTATAGCCCTTTTTTTCGTCTGGTTATTTCCTCAGCAGATTTTGCACAAATTTGTAAAAGCGCCCTTCCTCTTGCTTTCTGCAGGATTCTTTTTTAATGATGTGAGTCTGCAATAACATCCTGTGTTTTTCAATCAGTGTGAATTAAGGGATTTGGTTTTTATACGAGTCAAATTGTGCTAATTAAGGTTTCGGTTCATTGCACATGATGCGGTTAAAAGCGTAATTTAAACAACCTTTTTAATAATTTCCGGATTTGATTGTGGAGATTCGTTCACAGGTGCACAAAGGGCATAGGCATGGTTTTAATTGGATTGCCACTATAAACAAATAGTCAATTTACCTCGGATTATGATTATAATGATTAAAATATAAAAATATGTTTAGCGTCCCGCCCGCTTCCTATTTGGCGGCCGTCCTTTTTTAACCGAAAAAAGATACATTTTAAACAGTGACATATAATTTTGGCTTCTTTGTCTGTTGAATCTAGCCCATACAAAGCTGGTATGTCATTTCCTGAGTCCAATGGCGGCCATTAAAAAAAACATGGCGGCCATTTTGAAAAAAATCCCGGTCGGGCGGCCATTTTGGAGGGGAAAAAAGAGCCTGCCGCTTCCATTTTTCAAAACGGCAGGACGTTAAACATGTTTTAACAAAAAGGCAGGAAGCTAAACATGTGTTCTAATTTGGCCTTTTAATAGCTTGGATCTCGCGTCACGTAAAAAGACAACCGATGATATAGGTCACGGTTCTGCTTTGTTTGGAGGGGCTCCACACAAAGTGAAACATGATTGCTTCCTGGCGCCAAATGTGATCAGGTGACTGGTTCCAGAGCTGGGGACCATCAACCATCTCTCTCCCAATTTATTGGAAGTGCTGTACAACGTGAGACCTGTAACTGGCAAGACGATCGATCTGAGAGTACGAAGAATCACTCAATACTACAAACGTAAGTGGCTGACATCTTAATAACAGATTAAACAAACGAACAAGATAATGTAATTAAACCAGACGAGATATTTAACTGGCAACCAGTGTAAATTATAGAGGATCGCGCAGTAAAATGACAATAATATATTTTATGTTTCATAAAATCGTATTACGATTATCAGCAACTGTTAGGTGAGCGTACAGTATACATTCTGGAGAGTGACCAAAGATTAAGTTTGTGTGTCGTTATAATCATCATCAATGCATTCATCCAATGTCTTTAGTACTGCAGCAACTTGATCTGTAACTGTTTCAGGCTTAAAAATAAATAGGCCTTAATAAAATTATGCATATGAATGGACGTCTGGTGAGTATAGGTTCAACAATATCAAACAATTTTCTAACTAATATGAACAACAAAGGTCCGAGACGCGGGCCCTGTGAAACACAAGGTTAACAATGGTTTAACAAGCCTGCACCCCTAACGGCTTTTGGGTTTATGCAACATGCTCATCTAAACATGGCTTTTGTGTCTTTCCATATAGGTAAAATAATGAGTTTATAATGTTTGTCTTTTTATTCTATATCTATGCAGCACACGCACGCAGGCGCGGCACAAGTGTGTATTTGCCTGCAATCGGGACTCCTATTATCCCTCCATTTACCAATGCTTTCAGAAGTTATGCATGTGTTACAAACGTAGCCCATTTTTATAGCTGTCCTTGAATGTCATTGGAAGCTATTGAGTTTAGTGAGAATCATATTACAGACAAACTTTAAAATGCCAACAAGACTTTAGAGGAAACATGCAGTGGAAATTCAGCTCATCTTGTTCTCTTGCACATTATGTGTTGCAACAATACATACAAGATCGTAAAACTTGTTTTCGTTGGAATTGACAAGAAAGTGGTAGTTTTTCAATTGTTAGCAAATCCTTTCATCAATACAATCGCATGTAAGGCCCCCCAAAAAGTCTCCGGTTTCTGGTATGGAGCTTGCGGTGACGCGGCTTTTTTTTTTTTTGTACCCGACATTTTTGCTTCAAATGTCGGCTGATGACTTCAAATGGTGCTCGACTAAACTGAGTACAAATAGGCCTATATGGGATTGGGAGTTCAGAGAGGCCACATAAAGCTTATTCTTTAAGTTAAAAATGTGCAGCAGCAGGATTCCAGTCAAACCAGTGAGTTTGGCGGTTTTGAGACATCATCTTTCATTGAAAAAAAAACCTTTTTCATTTTGCCGACGCGCATGGCTACAGCGACGCACGCGCATACCATAAACCTTCCGGAATTGGGAACCCTTTTGTCCTCTTTTGTTCAACATCCCCTTTTGAATGCAGAAACAAACTCATTGTGTCCGCGTCCACGAGGCTCTCAATAGTGGTAAAAACGCGCCCTCTTGTTGGCGCATGGAGCCCATATAAAATTGATCTCTCGCAATCAACAATATTAATCATGACCGCTCATTCCTGAGTAACTACGCAGACCAGTCGCAATAATTCATTATTAAAAGTATCAGCTTAAAAATCTCAGGCAACCGGCGGTAATGGTTTGTATTGACCTAATGTATGCATGGGGGGCGGCAAATCATAAAGTGGAAAGTACATCCTCTACGGTCGGATAATCATTCCTATGATATTAATTCTGTGGCCCCGGACGGTTTGTACGGAGGACGAAAATTCCGGTGACACTGGCCAGCTCATGGGTCGTATTTAACTGCTTGCCCTCATGCTCAGAACCAAAGCCCGAGTTGGGTTGTGCCTCGCTTTTACCGCAAGGCCTCGGCGGTAGCCGCGGCACGATTCTCCTGACGATGATTTCGCTATATATCCCATATGGACATAGGAATCTTTTGACATATGGACATAGGAATCAGCTCATGTCCGTTTCCATGTCTGTAGTTTAACGTGATGCTCTAATTAAACAAAAATACATTTCATAACCAGTTTGTAATATTTGTATCTTGTTTTAAGATTGAAGCAAAGTTGTACAATTCGGACAATTCACAATGCAGAGCGCCACCAATAGTTTGCCACGGAGAGTTCACTTTTTCCGGGGCATTATGGGAGATGGTCGACAAATTCGCAGCGCGGGACATTTGACATTGTTCGGTTTTTTTTCCGGTTAGTAGTTTCGTAAGCGTATGATTCGAGTACATGTTTGCCCTTTTCTTTTCTTTGTATCAATATGGTGATTTTTGGTAAGGCAGCAGAACGCTTTGCCCCAATCTGTAACAAATTAGCTGAAGTATGGGCCATATTTTGTCGACCGTAAACTTGAAAAGTTGACTCTCCATGGCAAACTCTTGGTGGCGCACTGCATTGTGAATCGCCTGAATTGCAAACGCGTGGTCTAATATTGTTTGAGCTTCCCACTGCTTTCATAACCCAAGGGAACATCATGATATTATATTTAGGATTTGAACCGGTATAATGACGGTATAGGCGCGCACATCCTCAAACTCAGACGCACTTCTTTAATAGTTAAGGCTCATGATAAAAGGACAATAATGCACACAGGCTTTCACACACGGATGGAGCACAAAGAGGGCGTCCCTTTTACCTTTTCATGACCATTTTGTTTGTACTTTTTCAAGAATGCAAGTAATGAGGCAAGGGTTTGAAAACACGATTAAATAACAAAGATGACTTGATGGCAGACAGGTGTTTTGAATGAATTCATGAACACTGATAAATTGTTTTTTATGCAAGAGTCAATTTATTTTGCCACTGAACTATATCATTAACAGTACGTTTACGAATGAGAAATCATCAAAGGTGGAAAGGAGATAAGAAGTAATACGTCCAATTAATAACGAATGATTTCAAAGTCCTAGTTTTGTTCAAGGAATTGGATCTTCATTTACAGTAAAAAAACACCTGTTGTGGGAATAAATTTCATCAAAACAGCCTATTTGAGTTTTGTAACAAAGATGTACATATGGCTGTGTAATTTACTGGCAATTAAGTTGCACCAACTATGGCAATGGTCTCAACTATTGTTGGGATGACGTGATGTAATTGGTGCATAACATAATAGCTATTGCTGCGTTGCCTTCGAATGCAAATTTAACGATCGCACCCAAGTACGTGTTGCAGTTTTCTGATCAGGCATTTTAATCTAACCTAAAAAGTAAAATTTGGTGGCTGAGTCTCAATGACTTTTGATTTGAAATTACTTTAACAAATCTGCCAACTTAGAAAGTAACCGTCTCATGTTTTCTCTGGGGCTTGTGTTCCGCCCTTTCCAAAATGTATTTATTTATTTCTTATTTTAACTGGGTAGCCCATTCAGTGGAATCCACTGATCTCCCATGGGTCCCAGTAAAGAGAAAACAATGTGAAGAAATTACAGTTTAAGAGGTGGGAGGAAAAGCCCAGAAGAGTATTCTGTGGAAAACCCACGGAATCAGGTAGGGACTGAAAACCCAATCCACATATTGACCCAGGCGGGATTCGAACCCGGGTCACAGCGGTGGAAGGCGAGGAAAGCACCGCTACGCCAACCTGACTCCCCAAAAAAATCCCCGGATGCAAACGTTTCCATGTCCAAGCGCTGCTTGAACGATACATGCAGGAAGAATATTGATGGTTATTTTAAAAGCGAGTTTTACCCATGCATCACACTGACCACCACGCACTACCGATAACCAAAAACCCAAGAAGAACAAAAACATTAAAGACAGCAATAAACTTGAACACAGATTTATAGACATAACACAGTGGGGAGAATATTAAGTCCGTGCTCGAGCTCATATTATTTCTTGTCATTTAAATGACGAGAAGAATTTATATTTTAGATTCAAATTTGCCGAGCGTTTGATATGTCTGTTTTTACAAATCGATTTTATATATTTTTTGTTTGATGTTGATTTCAATGTTGCTCTAAAATTCAACATCATGAAGAGGAGCCTTCAGACGTGAACAGAACTGTAACGGAATTAATGGGAAAACAGGCTGGAACACGGACCCAGTATTTTTGTTAACAATAAAAAATGAGACAGTCTTCATGATCGGGAAAGAGGAAAACTTAACTAATGTGAAACCCCTTTGTTTAATCCGAATAAAGCAAAAATTCATTGCCAGTATTTCTAATGTTCTTTACTTGAAGGAATTGATCCAGGCCTCCACATGTCCGCAATGCATTCGCCATGAATACAATAAGAGCCAGGTTCTGGACAATCTCTGCGAGTTCGGCAATCTGAAACAGAAACCAACATGGTTGTGAATGATTTGTGTGGACAACCTGTTCAAGGAAGCTTTTAAAGAGAGGTCCATGTATGCCCGTATCCAGGAAAAATGACCATATTATCAGCCTGAAACTATTTCTTTTTATACCACACAGAAAAGGGATTGGTTCTCAATTTCAGATATCTAATTTGTTTCACAGAAAAATGATCTTGAAAAGTTAGCTCTGAAACTTTTAACGCTAGCCAATTTCAACCCCCCCCCCAAAAAAAACAAATCGATAAAGCTCGTTTAATTTAGTACCCTTTCCACCAGTTTTATATGAAAATTTATCATTTAGTCCCCAATACAAGAAGAGTCGTTTGCTTCCCTAAGTTTAGCAATAGCGTTGACATGGAGAAGTTCGTTCAACTTCAAATGTTTATTGAGTTCATCAAATTCGTCGGAGGCAGTAGGCCCTATATCACGAGGTTTATCAAGAATTCAATTTCCTTAATGTACATACATTTATTTATATGTTTGCATTCAAATTTGTTTCTGTGCTATTTTGTTTCAGATTTCAACATGTTCCGAGTGAACAGAAATAAACCAAAATAATAAAAGGACCAGTTCAAAGAATAACAAGGCGATGAAGAACACCACATCTTGTTTTCGTTCACTTTTTGAATTTCAGATTTATTTTTTACTGTCTTCAAATTCAAAACAATTTATATTTTAAGTAAGACAAACGACAGGATGAACCCGTAACAGTAACGTATGATTGCCTACAAACTAAGTTTGTTCTTCGATGATTGTTAGATGTTTCATTGAAAGTAGGCGGTAAAAAGTTATTGATGAAAATGTTGCCTTAAATGTATAACAAAAACAATAGTATAACTACAGCGAAATAGTGGGCGCACAAAAGCAACATGCAATGTTCTTATGCAAGGAAACTCTTTTGATTCTGCAGGGAAAACCTCGTGCATATGAGGGCTTCTGTACGAAAATTACGCAGTGCGATGGTGCGTCAGGTTACCATTATTAAAGCAATTACTTATAATTTAAGAAATCACCATGGGTGTCGCGAGGGGGCAGGAAGCAAAACAAAAAAATAAGGAAAAACAAAAGGGGGGGGGAAGAAAGAAAGAAAAAGAGGTGCAAAGTCATATTGCTGTTAATTGAATGGTTGGTGTGGGCAAAAGTCCCCCTGCCCACCCTCAAACACGTGATAAGTTGAGAATATGTTGGCAAAGAACAGGGATTTTGGGGGAAATATGCTCTGCTCCCCTGTAGAAAGAAATCCTGGCGACACCCATGACCATCACTGAACTTACACGTCCTCTCCGGAAGCCCGGAAGATTCCGGTTCTTGCATCACCTCCTCCGCAAACAAGTCTGCATGACATGAAAAAGGTTTGTGGTGCTGAACTCATGAATTGCACTTAAAGTTGGTGTAAACTTGCTTTTTTTTTAAATTTCAAATTTCCTTCCCGAACGAAATTTGAATTTGAAAAATTTGCGCTGGGGGGGGGGGGGGGGCTGGAACATCTCATGGGGGGGGGGCGTCATGTAGATCAATGAATTTTTTTTGAGAAACTCAAAATCTCAGTGGGGGGTGGGGGCTTTGACTGGGGGGCGACAAGGTTTCATGGGGGGAGGGCTGTCACCCCCCCCCCCCCCCCCCGTGGCTACGCCACTGATCTCATCTATTCAAATGCGCCTTTTCCAGAGGATTGCAAAACCCATAGTTTTCCAAGTCTAGTTCTACGTGGCCGGACTAATGAGCATTATACGTGTACGTGCACGTGCACATTATGGTGCATATTAGAGAGCTCTGAGAGCCATAACATTGGGGAATTGAAGAGATATGGCAATGAACCTCTTGCCCGGACTTGGGGCTTCCAATTCAGAGCATTTTGGATGCAATTGGGCTCGAAAGTGGCGCTATTTTGCCATGTTGTGGAGGGATCCTTTTTCCAGATGGCTACTTTTCCGCTTTGTGAAAAATAGGGGTCATCTTCTTGGAGTGTGAATTCCTCGAAAAGTCAAAGATCAACCCACCAAAAAAAAAAAAGGAAAGGAAAGATGACATGTTAAACATCATTTTACTGTGCAGCTAAAAAATACCTGTGAGAGTTTTAAGTATTTTTTTTTTAAATTACGTATGGGCTTTAGCACTAGTTATTGCACTGTTGCACCCTATTATGCACAGGTAGTAACACAGCTCACACGTAGGTATGCACATTATTCACTGTGTGGACTTCCGAAGAAAAAAAAATGTTCACATAAACCAGGTAGCATCGTTGTGTGGACTTGCCCACGTCCACACAAGGTTTCCCCTCTCTGGAAAACAGGTTTAGAGGCATTTTGGGATAGGTTGATCCGTAGCAAAATGAGGAGAAACACTCAAGGGAATCATAGAAAAAAAAATAGTTTGAAAGAGTTTTCACAGTTTGAGTAAAACACGGATCCTAGATACCAGGATAAACGACTGTTCTGGGTGCTTATTCACAAAGCACCCGTAAATGTTTGCGTTGCGGGGACCCGTAAGTGGATGTTAAGGGCACGTAAGACTTGCGTTAAGTGGTATTCACGAAGCACCCTTAGAGTTCCCTTAGTGGACCCGCATGTTGCGGGCACCCGCAACTAATTGGTTGAACATTAAAAAAACACATGCCAAGACATTTTATCCCATTTCAGAGTTCTTGCTCGTAGAGTCGATTAAAGATAAACTTGTCTTTGTTTTCTAAGCAAACAATCAACACCAATCAAGCATGTCTTTAAGAGCATGTTCTTCCACTCATTTAAAGAAAAAAAATGAATCACAAAAATTTACCAATGCTTTCAGAAGTTATGCATGTGTTACAAACGTAGCCCATTTTTATAGCTGTCCTTGAATGTCATTGGAAGCTATTGAGTTTAGTGAGAATCATATTACAGACAAACTTTAAAATGCCAACAAGACTTTAAAGGAAACATGCAGTGGAAATTCAGCTCATCTTGTTCTCTTGCACATTATGTGTTGCAACAATACATACAAGATCGTAAAACTTGTTTTCGTTGGAAGTGACAAGAAAGTGGTAGTTTTTCAATTGTTAGCAAATCCTTTCATCAATACAATCGCATGTAAGGCCCCCCAAAAAGTCTCCGGTTTCTGGTATGGAGCTTGCGGTGACGCGGCTTTTTTTTTTTTTTACCCGACTTTTTTGCTTCAAATGTCGGCTGATGACTTCAAATGGTGCTCGACTAAACTGAGTACAAATAGGCCTATATGGGATTGGGAGTTCAGAGAGGCCACATAAAGCTTATTCTTTAAGTTAAAAATGTGCAGCAGCAGGATTCCAGTCAAACCAGTGAGTTTGGCGGTTTTGAGACATCATCTTTCATTGAAAAAAAAAACTTTTTCATTTTGCCGACGCGCATGGCTACAGCGACGCACGCGCATACCATAAACCGGAGACTTTTTTTGTGGCCTAACCAACTGCAAATGAGATCAAAGAAAGTCGTCGCCTGAAATTCCCCTCGCAGTTTAGGTTTAACAATAATGCGAATGACTTATGTCCTTTTGGTTTGACAGCACTTGATTCACGATCCCGGTGGTGCAGCTAAAAATAAATGTTGTATAGGCTATTAAAGATTCAGAAACTGCTGAAATTTCCCTCGCAGTTTAGGTTTAACAATAATGCGAATGACTTATGTCCTTTTGGTTTGACAGCGCTTGATTCACGATCCCGGTGGTGCAGCTAAAAATAAATGTTGTATAGGCTATTAAAGATTCAGACAAACAATTTGTGAAATGGTTTACAGTTATGGTTACGAGAAAAAAAGGATGGCGTGCAGGGTTGAACTTGTGTAGGCTTAGGCCTATTCACACTACCTTAGTAACACGCAGGCGTTTATGGTAAACATACATGTTTATATATAAACACAGTGCATGTTACCAAGGTGGCCTGAATAGTAGGATGTATTTTTTAGAGATGTGTGATGGAAACACAAGACCGATTTTTTTTATGATAGGAACACACATTGCAAATGTACTTTTTGAATTATGAAAATTTGTGTAAAAAAGGAGAAAGATTGCAAATTGCAAAGACTAAACAATTAATGAATTGGAGAAGTGCTGGCTATGCGCTGAAACATGTATTTTGATGGTCCTTCTGAGGGAAAATTATTTAATATACCAAGTGTTGCAGTTTGCTCTGAGTGCTGCACTTTTCTCTATATCGATTGTGATTAAATGTATTCACACGTGTTCGTTTTAAGTTTTTTTCTGTTGTTTTAAAATATAAAATAATAATTATGTTACAGTTGTGTCAGTCAAACTTGATATTATTGCCGAAATCAATGTAAATAAAATTGTCTCTTTAATTAGGCCTATATCTCGGGACAAGGCTTTCCATTGAATTTGTGTTTTCGTGATTTTCATTGTAATTGCAGGGAGTCAAAAAGGGAAGTCAGTTGCATTTTCTCCTTTTTTTTGGGGGGGGGGGGGGTGAAGTTTATAGTTAACATGTAAATTCAGTATGTGTTTGGTCATCCGTGGGCCATGGGGTACATCCGTGTCGAAGATTGGGGGTGGATATGACCCCAAATCCTCCACTTGTGGAAATTCGGGGGCGAAAGGGGGGAGGCTGGACACACCAGAGGACGTTAGGGGGCTCTGTTCATGGAATATATAGATTTTCCCAGCCAATTTCCTGAAATGTTCATTCACTTCCGAAAATCGGTCATTCATTTTCATCTGAATTTGAGAATCGCTCTGAACACGCGTTTCATGCATTTTCGCTATCAGAGCATTCGATTTCATTTCCATTCAATCAATTAAGCACATTTCGTTTATGCTCATTCAGATTCGTTAACAAGACTTCCTTTTCGCTTTTAGAGGGCGATTTCAAAAATAAGTCATTTTATTTCACTTTTAGTTTCATGTTATGTGATGCAATCTGCTAAGTTTGAATGAGAAAAACGCACTTTATATTGCACATTCACGAAATTGTACTCCAGAACTCTGCGCGAAAAGGTATGCTCGCGTAAATGAATGCACAGGTAACGTAATTGGCCGTCTGTTTCTCAAAACCGAATGCACGGACAATGAAAACGATTGAACTTTCGTTGAATTGAAATGGGATTAAAGACGTGCATTCAAATTCAGACGAAAATGAATGACCAATTTTCAGAAGTGAATGAACATTTTAGGAAATTGGCCGGGAAAACCTATTATGGGCGCTATTTTGCTTATGTCGCACAAGGAACTCCTTGTCAAAAGTGCATATGAACAGTACAAACATAACTCCTTCAAAGTTACCCCCCAAAAAAGCTTTGAAAAAACTAGTGGCGACTGCTAGTGTCCAAACAAGCTGTTTAACATGATAAACAAGTAAAAAGTGGAACTTACTGCAAGAAAATAAAGAAAAGTTTGATATATATTTGTACACAAAGCTGTAGAGACACTTTTGTTCTGCTTTGAATGACATCACGCTTTGGCTCATGAATATGGAACTGTTCAATAGCATAAAAATTGAAATGTTGAAATTTCTCCCTTTTACTACTACAAAAGAAGGTTGAAAGTCATAGTAACATGGCAAGAAAGCTGTTTTTTTTTATCTATTTAAGTAATACAAATTTTTTTGCAGGTTCCCTTTAATAATTGAACTCAAGACAGAAACCACTGTCAGAATGTGTGCTTTCAGTATATAAGAAACAAGTTAGCTCTTTTTTTTTTTAAATATTGATGGTGATTTTTGTATCCTTTCCCATGCTCTCGTTCATTCAGTGGAGGTGGGAAAGTCCATTTTTCATTGTACTCAATGGGTGTTCAGTTTGCATCACGTGATGAGTGGTAAACAAGTTTGTGATCGTTTTATTGAAATAGACATAACTTAGGATTAGACTGTGCAATTTAAGTGAAATATTCACACTTAAAATCCCATAAGATGTACTTCGTCCCATAAAAAAGGGCGGCAGTTGCTTCCCAAAAGTGGAGGACATACCTATTACGGCATGGAGCGGGCCCCGAATTTTTGTTTGGATTCTAGATGGTTGCTCTGTGGTGCGATCTGAGTCAATTTCTGAGCACTCAAACCACTTTTGTGAGCAAAAGATAATGTTTTAAACATCATTTTTTGAGTTTGGAGTCATTGATCAGCTACTATAGAATCATTATGTAGCTACAATTTTTATTCGGGGATAGAAAAGTGTGTGTGTGGGGGGGGGGGGGGGGGCAACGATATGACATCCGCCACTTAAAAAAAAGTGGGGGGGGGAGGACTTGTCTCCCACCGATTGACGCCCATGAAAATGGAACGCGCCAAATATTTTGAACACATTTTTCAAATTCGTTCACTTTCTTTTTAACTCATCCTATAGTTGGTTCAACCGGTCACGGAAGATGAACC